TCTCTCAGCCCTAGGAAGGAGGCAATGGCAAACCACTTGTGAAAAAGCCTTGCCAAGAAAACTGCAGGGACTAGTCCAGACAGTTGCCAGAAGTCAACACTGACTTGAAGGCGCGCATGCACACACACACACACACACACACACACCCCCCAAGTTTAAACAAGATATATCTGGAGCTCCTTAACAGAAAAAGGCCAGCTTAGGATGGTGTGAATCTTCCCATCCATTTTCACACCTGCTGAAGTTCATATTTTTAAAGCAAGCTCATTAATGTTCTCTTTTCTTCCTCAAAGCCTAATTCAGCAGCCAAAGAAAATGCTGCCAAAAATTTCTTGCTGAAAATAACCCTTTAACCATATACCTTCATCCAGACATCTGTTTAAGATCCCACCATAAGGATAAACATGGGAGACCAAAGATTCCTGGACTGACAGGCAGTTTTCCAAATTCTTGATTTTTTTTAAGCTGGAATATTGTGAAGGTTGCTGCTAAAAGGATTTTAATAATGCTTTCAGAAGGAAACTCCTTGTTTTCAATGATTGTTGAAGCAAAGTAGTTCCAGAAGTGTAGAATGTCTTGCAGTTTCATAAATGTGAAGGATAACATCTCCCTGCCATTTATCTTGGAAAAGTATTGGAGATTCTTTGCAATCAAGAACTGGCAATACTAAGGCCAAGTTTATGCATCATGGTAAGCCAAAGTTTATTTTAACCTTGGTTTGTTATCTAAGCCACAGTGACTACATTTACATATATGGCTTAGCCATAACCATAGTTTTCCAACTAGAATAGCTAGGTTCATATACCACACTAAGCCAAAATCAACATATATTGTGGTTTAATATGATGTATGTTAAACATACGTGTTAAACATTCTGTTTCAAGCATCTTTCATGAAGACAGAACTACTTCATATTTCCTTAGGTGAAATTTTGCTATCTGTATGTGAATTAAACAAGAATTGTAGGTAGACGAGAAAGATGAGTTTTAAAACAGCAAGGTTTTTTTGCCAATGTACTTGAACATGACATCTGCTAAGGAGAACACTCACCTGATATACAGAAACAAAGCTTGCTCGTGCCTCTCAGATCCAGCCTCCAGTTTGCAATATTTTATCTGACTATGAAGATGGAGGAATTTTACTGCAGAAATAAAAATGTATAAAATCACAACATGCAAAATATATGTACATATGCATAAATTTAGGCACCCTTGGTCAAATGGCATGTTTTAGTGAATCATTAAATTAACAGTAGAGGACATAAGCTCTGCATGGTACAAAGCTAGACTTTCTGCAAGTGTGAATGCATATTTACTATTATGCAGATTTTTTAAAATAGTGATTTTACATCATTCTTGATTCTTGCAGCTACATAGACAGGTCTATGCAGTTTTCTTGGCAAGATTTTTAGAAGTGGTTTGCCTTTAACCACTACACCAAACTGGCTCTCATGTAGATGTCTTCATATTCAGAATAAGAAAACAGTGAATATACCATATTATTACTATTTTTGTATATAAACAATTTTACTTTGGCAGAAGTAATAATTTCCAGATAGTTGCTATAGCCAGCTACGAGTCTTCCTATTCCTGGCTTTGGATTTTTTTGTCCCTATTCTTCCTTGCAGATAGCTGTTTGCATCTCCCCAAAGGTGCTTAATCACAACCTAAAACCAATACAAAAACTGATGCAAAACGTGCAGCAGTTATTCTTTAACTAAATGTGTACAAAATAAATAAGTGAGAGACTTTGCCATTTAGAAAAATGTAGTTGCATTACCATTCTAGTTTTGGAGTTAGGCAGCAAAACTTGAAATGCTTTTTTTTAAAGAAAAAAATAATATCACAAAATGACATAAATGTCAGTTTAGTTGAGTCATTGACCCAGATGTGGGAAACTCCCATAATCATATTCACAAACAATCATAGAAGCAGAGGATGCACAGCAGAGAAATCATTAATTCCAGAACAGAAGTGAACTCTTAAGGAAAGATGTCTGGTTTTCCAAAGGAATCGGCAAATGTATATGAATTGTACCAGAGTTTCCAGATGTCTTGAATGATGTTTTGCATTTTACCAAAACTACATATTGGCAGGTGTAAGTATAAGCCAGGATGCCAGTCATCATAAGGGTGTCAGCTAGTAAATATGTGGTTATATGTTGCATCCATTTCCATCCCCCCTGTCTAAACTGTCATATCAAAGTATGTTTTTAAAATGCGTTTAAAATATCAAAGTACTTTTTAAAATTCTTTCTGCCTATGACAGCATATCTTGCTTTGCCCTATTCGAAGCAGGCTGGGTAGGAAAATTGAACTGATGCCACAACCAGCTGAAAGCATATTTGGTCATTCCTTTGTAGGCTCTCCTTTCTTCATGGATTTCTCTTTGTTCAAGGCCAAGAAGGAATGAAAAATTGAACCTAAAATTCCTTCCAGTAAAATAGTTGTTTAAGAGGCTATCCTGTATGTTGATCCAGATGTCCCTGAATTGCCAGTATATTCTTACCATTTTGCTTTTCTTGGGAAATACCGCAACAACAGCATTTGGGTGATGACAAATTTTTGATTTGTTTCCAGCTTGATTTGACCAAGTTCACAGCAGTTCCAGTAAGAAGAAAGCATGTTTGACTTGTTATTTTGTGGGGCTTTTGATTGGCTTGTTTTGAGGCTTTGAAACTGGAGGTTTTATTTCAGAAAATGGTACACTGTGCCACATTTTTTTTAATGTGTATTACATTATTGTATATATGAATTTAATTTGATAAACTATGAAGTAGCTCTGTTATTACCCTTCTCTACAAATGATTGTGTTTTCTTCACTGAATATCACCATTTTTTTTGTTTTTACATCTTTATAACACAATGTTATATACAATATGAAAAATTCACATACGAGCAAAAGGCATAGATCTGCACAAAATCAAGAAGCTTTTGACTTAGATGTGTATGTAAAGGATGACAAAGACATAAATAGTTTAACTTTAAATGTGTGTACCAGGTAAGTAAATATACTGTATTAAACCATCAGTTCTCTTTTATTTACAATTTTTAAAATGACTTTTTTGCTGAATCTTACTCTCTTTAACAGATATATCACTATAATATATTTCAGAGGAATCAAAGTTTGTGCATGGCACTCCATTATATTTTGCCAGGTTTTCTGAAAGAATGAATGAGTGAATGAATGAATGAAACAAACAAAAAATCCTACCGAAGTTAAAGTCCAGTTAAATCTAAGGAGACAGTTCAGAAGGCCTTAAAAAGTAGGCTCTTCCCTCAGGTTTTAGGGGCCAAAAGTTAGTAGAGCCCAGTTTGTGTGTTTTGTCTTGCACTGAATGAGGAGTTCCATATTTTTACCCAGCATCTTTCACTGTTTTATAGGCATACTTTTGTTTTTATGCCTTTCCTAGCTGCACAGAATTATTTGATTAAGATGGACAGCCATATAAATTTGCAGAATAAAGAATAAATAAATATATTTGTCCTTCAGTAAAACTTTGGCATTCTCCTGAACACAATGCAGGCCAGTCACTTTGTTGGCTTCCCTTTTTCATATTGGCTTGGCAAAAAATGATTATACCTGCAAGTACTGTCCAGAGAGAACTTTTTTTTCCTTCTACAATTACAACAAAGACATAATTAAAACCAGTTTTGGTTATTTGCTTTCCATAGCAGCTTTGAGGGCTGGTGATTTGCCCCACAGGTGGTTTTATTTCTTTTAGTCTCACAAGCCAACGTCAAACAACAGTACTTCGTATCATGCATTGCTAAACTTTGGACATCACCGCCACGTGACATAATGTTGGCTGCCCATTTGGATTGCCTTAAAGTGGACTGAAACAAATTAAGGGAGGATAAGGCCATCAGGGGCTACTAGTCCCTTTAGCTATATATTATCAATTGAAGTACATCTCATTGCCAGTCACTGAAGAAAAGGAGAAGGAAGGTGCGGCTGCTGACTTGTCCTTGGATCTTCCCAAATGTGTGGGGCTGGGGAAAGATGCTGGGCGAGAGTGGCCTTCGCTCTGATCCTGCATGACTGTCCTGCTCTTAGGGTGTACTGAATTCCTGTCCAGATATGATCTGTGTTTAGTCAATCATACTTACAGGCCCAAGAGCCTTGCTTGGAGAAGGGAGTCTTTTTGTAAATTTCCCCGATATAACAAGAAACATTGTTTTACTCAGTTCCCCAGCATTCAGAGCACAAATCTGAGAGGTGTTCTATTAAAAAATTATGACAGAAATTTCTTGTTCATGCCAAATGGATGTCTTCTGACATCCCCTTGAAGAACTTTTGTCATTGCTGTTTGAAGCTTTCACTTAGCTTGTCCTATCAATAGTTCCTGTCATAATGTTACAGTTGGAAATCAAGGTTCTTGGTTTAGATATCTGGCTCCTTTAAAATGGGTGGGAGAGGGATATACAGAAACACTATAGATAATATTGGGGTGTGTAAGTGTTTGTGCTCTTCTATAGTTTTATATGCCTCCAGTGTGAATGGAGAGGCTTTTTCAAGGACTGTACTTTACGCAGTATTGTATACAGTAAAACCTTGGTTTGCGAATATAATTCGTTCAAGAAACATGCTTGTAATCCAAAGCACTTGTATATCAAAGCGAATTTCCCCATAAGAAATAATGGAAACTCAGATGATTCGTTCCACGACCCAAAAACGAATATAATTCGTTCAAGAAACATGCTTGTAATCCAAAGCACTTGTATATCAAAGCGAATTTCCCCATAAGAAATAATGGAAACTCAGATGATTCGTTCCACGACCCAAAAACGAATATAATTCGTTCAAGAAACATGCTTGTAATCCAAAGCACTTGTATATCAAAGCGAATTTCCCCATAAGAAATAATGGAAACTCAGATGATTCGTTCCACGACCCAAAAATATTCATATAAAAATGATTACAATACTGTAATGTAATACAAAATAATAAAGAAAATACAAAATATAAAGAAAAATAAAACAAATTAACCTGCAC